AAATAGAAAAGAAAAATTAAGTTCCTTTAATAACTTTAACAATTAATTATAACAATTTAATAGCTAATTCTTATGTAAATTAATTTTAACAAGTTAGAACTAAGTGTTTTGTGTAATTTATATTATTCATATGTAAATTATAATATAACTTTTTATATAAATTTATGTATAGAAAACACATATTTTTTCTATTTTTTCTTTTTATGTAGGTAGCTTTGATTTGAAAATATATAAATCACAAAAGAAAACATGAACAAGAAAAAAAATGATGTGAGAAAATTAAAGAGTGATTTTAGAACTTTTAGGCTGGTAAATCCAACAAGTCTCATTTGAGAAATTTAGAGTTTACAAGATTTTTTATATGCTTTCATAGCTTTTAAAACCAATTTATCAATCACCCTCTAATGCAATTGAAACAATTTGTGTTGGATAAAATAATTTTCCAAACCAAGACTAAAAAAAACTGTACTTTATCACAAATTGTAAATCTGAAAAAACAGAATTATTTCATCAATGAATTGATGTGAAATATAAAATAACAGCAAAATAATAAATAGCGTGAGAAAAAAAACAATCAAACATCAATTATTCTCTCCTTATTCAAAGTTCTAATGAAATAAACAAAAATATGTATTCCAACACCTCTCTTGAGATGATGTAGCTATCTCGGTAGAAGCAAAACATATTACAACTTGTCTGATCAATAGGTTTTTAAATGCGTATTTGATTCAAAAAGACGACCAATCATTTTTTTAGGAAACCGTAGTGAATATTGATTTAAACATACAAGTTAAATATTTGTACAAAAAAAGTCTTCCATATGCTATAAATTTTATTAATGAACGGTCTATTTATATATATATACGTAATGGTGTATATGTCTAACAATTTGCTACAAATTCTTAATCTTCTAAGTTAAATAATTATTTAGTATAAACACCAAATTTATATAATATTAAATACATAATTAATAACTAAAAATTATTAAGTTAATTTTTACTATGTTAATTTTTAAATTTTACGCAACGCGTGGACAATCTCTAGTGTAGATATAAACTCAAACCCTGTTGGCGAATCCACTAAGGATAATAAGGTGTCAAGTGACACCATAATTTTTTTGAAATAAACTATTTTTATATTGAATTTACGTAAATTTTGTAGAAAAAATGGTAAAAAAACACCATTTGACCCTATATAATCAAAATTAATTTTTTTTGACCCACATAATCAAAGGTTATATCTCTTTTTATTTATAAATAATATTTATTTTAAATAATGACCCCGTTAAAATTTATTTTTACATTCCCCCTGCCGTTGCCAATATGATTACTCTACTTCAGATTCAAATGTCCTACATCTGTCAACATTTGCTCTGGAGCTGATTTAGATATATGGGGACCAAACCAAAACACCATATATATTTAATCGTTTTATAAAAAAAAAAAAATTGTAAAGTTAAAATTCACCTACGAACATTATAAATACAGATCTACTTGAAGTTGAGTCACGTGGCAGACCGATTGAATTATTCACGGATCTCTCAGACCCGTCCGATTAAACTAAACCGGTACAATCCTATGAACAACTGATTACGAATTATTCACTCAGGGACCCACACGATGGACCCAATCTTAGATTATGATCAGACACGAAATGAAAAACATCACATATGCAAATCATTATATTTGCCATTTAATATTAAAAAAAAAAAAACTAATTTCTTTTGTAGATAGGTTTTCTGTTCACTCATCACACTCGTTAGAGCATCACTTGAATAAACAAATATTAAAAACACACTCT